ATTCTTCACATAAAATAAAAAATTTATATCTTTATGTTTGAAGCCTGAAATGTGGCAAAAGGTTGAAAAGTTCAAGGGGGCCGAATACTTTCGCAAGGCACTGTATGTTTTATGCACAATTTATGTATTAATAAATGTATCTCGTTTATTGAATCCGTGTGTGTGCGCGTCGCTGATCAATTTGATTTTCTAAAAGCCATAATGAACCACCTCATGATTGCTGCTACAATTAATAAATTGTCCCAGTAAATTCACAAAACCCCTACAATAGTAGGGAGTTATCCCAGTGTCTGGGCCAAATTTCCCCCCTCGGCCTTTACCATGGCCTCCAAATTCTCCATGTATGATTGGTTTGCCCTTGCCCTGTGGTAGACTGGAGCCCCCTCCAGGGTGTACCCTGTCTTGTGCTTGTTGCTTGTCAGGTAGACCCCAGCTTCCCATGACACTGTATGGTATAAAGCGGTTTGACAAATGACATGACATTATAATGACATATTCCTCATTTTATTGAATTCAGAAAATACATGTCAATGTTATTAATATTTTAAATATGTATATTAATATTGTAAAATTGTAAAATTTGATTTTATCAGTGTTTTATTGCAGCAGTTTATAAATGTTTAATTTATTGGCAAATTTCCAACTGTAATTAATTATTGTTAGCATTTTGTAGCACTTATCCACAAAGTGCTTTAGAGGGTAGGACCTTCTTTATTCATAACTGATGTGTAGAACCTGCTTGGATGATGCACAACAGGCCTTACGTGTCAAAACCCATACAACATGGCAGATTAATTGGAAAAGTGAGAAAGTGCTTCACCAGTTGAATGAAGGGGAAACTTTAGGTAGACCAGATTGTGCTAGCCTAGAGTGAAACTTTGAAAACAGGCTTAACACCCATACATTTATGAACAGTGCCATTGGATGTCTAATAATCACGTTATCAGGTTAACCTCTCAGCAGTGTAACCAGTGATGTTACTATTGGTTTTTGGAATAATCTGGTCCAGTGGGAAGAGTGACTAAGTACTGGCCCATTAACAGCACCTACAGCAGTAGTCTGGTTTTCCATAGAGGTTTTCCTTTCCTAGTATGGACCAATCCCAGTCTTAATTATTTTCTGAGATCTGATTTGATCAGGGTATGAGGCTGTAATACCGCCGTCACGCTGTTCACAGGAGACATTTTAAATTAAATATATGCCCATACCAGAAATAATTGGGGGAAAAAAGACCAAAAGTAGACAACAATAAAACGTTAATAGACCTTTTATCACACAAACAAGTTCTCTGTAGCTTTATTGGAATTATCGGTTATGTTTATCATTTTGTATCTATCTATTCAAGTGTGGAATATGAAGAGATTTAGATTATATAAGATTTTGACAACTTTACAGACCTCTGAACACCGTAGCCCTCTGCGTGAATCGTTAAACTGTCCAAACAAAATGATAGATAGTGTGCGACTATTTTGAGGAGTGCGCTGCAGAAGCCCACAAGGGGGCTGGAATTGTTTCTTCTCTCTCCTCCTCACTCTGTTTCTGTCTGTCTCGGAGGCAGCACGGTGTCTCTGTGTGCCTGCTGACTGCAGATTGTCTGCAACTCTCCTGTGGCTGCTTGTACTTATTTTACCGATGATATTTTTATGGCCACGGAACGGTGCATCTTTTGCATACTCTGACTGTTACTCTAAAGGAATAATTTTCTCCCATTCTTTTTAATTGTTTAGAAATCCGTTTATGATGTTTGCTATATTTGGGGATACAGTATGTAAACCTGTGCATTTGTGAATCACCTCCTCGCTTATGATTCTTACTACAGAGCAATCAGTATTTTGAAAGAAGTGAACAGTAGAACATGGACTAATTTTTGTCATCATGATGGAACTATTAAAACTTACTTTTGTGCTGTCTGTTTTTTGCATCTTTTCAGGTAAGGGTACTATGATTTTTATCTCGTAAAAACATTTGAGATATTTTAAGATTGGTCTGTCATAGATGAACTTATGATATTCATAACCGTACTGCTGCATTATTACAAGCGAACCTAAAATTCGACTTTAAAATACGACTTGAAATACGACTTAGTGATAAAACATACGTATTTTAAAATATGTCTTATAAACTTGGTTTATGATTTAGTGATGTATAGTGAATGGTGGTGCTATTATTTCCAGTTTATTACTGTAAATACAAATACTGTGTCTCAACCTATGTTTAAAGATAGGAGAAATCCACGTAACGTTTGATTCTGAAACTGTGTTTTTGCGTTTTCAAGTTTTAGGGTTCGGAGTGGACCCTGATTTGCAGATTAACATTTTCAAGGAATTGCAGACTGGGGAGTCGCTTACTGGAGTTTCGCAGGTCCAGGGTTTCCACAATGAAAGCAGAGCGTTTCTCTTTCAAGGTACGCGCTGCTGCCGTTAAAAAAAGATTTCTTTCCGATTCCAAACTACGTGATGTGAAATTATTCACTAGTAGTACTTATTTTACTTATCTTAATTTAATTTTATCTTACATTTAATATATATTGTTAAATATGTTAAAATTACTAATGTATTTCAGTAAATGTTAGATGTAGGTCACACTCAGCACAGAAAGCTACAAGGTCAAAAGCATTTAAAGGTATTTTAATAAAGCTTTAGCTTTGTGTTCTTTGTAGTCCTAATCATTTCATTAGAGTCAGCGCTATGCTACTGCGTTGTGTTTAAGTTATTGCAGTATACTGTAAGTAACTGTAAAACCATGGGTAGGGAACCAATAGATAGGAAGTTGAATGAATTTTACCCATATATCCCAGAAGGCAAATCTTTCTGGGCAGCCTTTACAGAGCTGTGGATTGATGTAATGTGAGGCAAAACCCTGAAGCCTAAGGAGATTTGTTTTGAATCTGTCTGTCAATAATAAGCTGAGAGCAATTAAACCTAATGCAACAGAAAATGATCTGATAAAATTGGAATGCTCGTTGCTCTGCCAATCTTGCCAAATAGAGACAGGTGGCACCACTGTATTTTAAAATGGTGATTTTATCTTGGCTCTCAGAGATAGGTCTGTAATTTCTGACTGAAAATTATTGGGTTTCATCAGCCTGCTTTTACTACACTCATACTTTTATATTGTTTTCATTACATTGGCAGTGAAAAATGGCTACATGAAATCTTACTGTTCACTTTTTGTGGTGTGGTGAAGGATTTCGGAGCACATACTGTACAGTACTGTACACTTTACTTAGTGGGAACCAGATTTTAACACAGCTTCTTTTATGTAATGTGTGAGGGAATTACCCATAATAAGTGGAGAGGAAATCGGAGTGGTAAGAATATTATTCATCTCTTATTAACTGCTGCACTGCATGTGAACATGATACAGTATAGTACAGATATATAGTACATAGCTTCCTTTTTCTTCTGCTAAGAATTACACTGGTGTTGCTATTTATTCCTCGGGCATTCAGGAGTATTCTGTAAGCCTAAGGTATTACTTACCTTTTTTACAGTATATCCTGGGAGATTGCCAGTAAAGTGGCAATCTGCCTGTTACTGATGGTCCCAGATGATTGTTACTCCAAATCAATTAACAGTCAGTTTTAGAGCCTTTGCTTTCTTTTATAGATACCGCTTTCTTTGCTGCCAGCCAGACAGAAGGCATTTGACACCAAACCGTATGCATTCCAAATCAGCTTGAGCTCCTACAGCTTTTGCATGTAGGGAGTCTGTGCCCCATAGAAGGCTTTTATGCATCTGAAAGCACATAAAGCATGGTTAAAAATTAATCACAGACAGTTAGGTGGAGATTTTTATATATATTTATTAGTGCTCTAAATTCTGTTACTGCTCATCCACATTGTTGCCAGCAGAAGTGTTGGAATTAGTGTTGATTTTGGAGATTAAAAGCAAAAACCACTCTTAAAATAAATTACTAGGCTACAAAGAAATCGAGGCTGTACTTGCCTGCTGGAAAAAAAATAGTTATTTGGGAAAAGAACTGGAATGCCTGTTCAGCACTGAAACGGCTCACTATAATGTGAGGACATTAGATTTGATTGCATTACTTTAAATGTCTGGTGAATGCTATAAGAAATATTTAAAGCTCACAGCACAGTTTGGCTGCTTGTGTTGTTTTATTGACTATATTGACATCATGCAGGCCTTTCAGTAAAATTCAGGGAGTACAGTATAAAAGCTTTGCAGTACTGGCATGGTTGTGCTTGACCTCTATTTTGATAATCTTGAAGTGGATCAGAGTTGCAGTTTTAGCCAAGCTCAGATCCCTAAACTTACAGGCTGTACTGTATGTATACTACATACGGTACATAAATTAATTCTCCATACATGAAGCTGGGCTTCCGGTTTACTGAAGTGACCTGAATGGAGTCTGAATGCACTGATGAGGCCAAATTACAAATTAAAGGCTAATAACTGGTCATGATAAAAGGAGTTATGGACATGATGATTACTAAATATGAAACTACATTTTGCTTCATTGTAGCACAAATGCAATACTGTTCCAACTACACTTGAGGGAAGTCTGGCATAACCAGGTGCCATGATAGACAATAAGCAACTCTGTAAGAATATGATCTTAAAGCCACAAGTGCATCCTCTCATACCCAGGCTACTATGACAATATAACTATATTGACTGTACTTGATGAAAAATGGTGTTGGTTTTGTTTTGCTGCCAAAAGCTTTCCATTTATGTTTCCCAGTAGGGAAAATATGGGCTCTGAGTTGTTGTGAAAGACTTCCTGATATCAGTGACCCGGAAAGAGAGCTTTGGTCATCTGTCAGTGGTATATCAGTGTCACTGACCTTGAAACTTGTGATATATTTTATTGTTATGCAGGGCATATATCAGTGCTTCTGTACCTTGATATAGTCCTGAAATCTGTCATGATATACAGTAGCTACACAAACTCTATTGTCCTGAATTTTCTATGGGTGCATGATGTTGTAAAATCACATCAAATACATTTTGTTTTTGATTCAGTCTGCTACAGCAGTGGATCCCAACCTTTATTGTCTTATGTACTCCCACAGCCCTTTCAATATGTCTCAAGTACCCCCTCATCCACATCATCCACACCAAACCAGACCAAACTCCTAAATTTGTTCATTTAAACTGATTTAAACTGAATATTATTAAACATTATTAATAATATTATTAAACTGAATATTATTATAATGATTCATTAATGAGTCAGACACAACAAGTAGATTAATCTTCCTTTAATAAGACACCTGAGCTTGTTTGTCTTTCAAATGTTTTTACAGTTCTGGGGGCAGTGTGGCCATGGCTGTAATTAGGCTGTTCTCCACATTGAGTCTGTTCCTCTGCTTGGTTTTGATTTGGGTCAAAGCTGAGAAAGCCACTTCACACAAGTAGGTAGATCCAAAGGGTAAAAGTTAATTAAGTGCATATTTCTCCCTTAGGGTATTCCTTTTCCACAGGACACCAGAACTGTGTCAGTGTCTTGTCTGCATGTTTCATCTTAAGTCTACGGTGTAACACAATCCAGAATAGTGAGGAAGGAATACTCTAGGGAAAAGTCATGCAGGAACAGGGATGAAAACAGGGGGGCGTGTCCATACAGTGCTGGTGATCCAAGGAGGTGTGGCCGAGGCGAGCAGTCCAGAATAAATCCAAAAGGGGGAATCCAAAAACGAAAGCAAAAGGTCCAAGGCTAGGAAATCCGTCCAAACAGGAGATTAAAATCAGGTGTCTGGTTGGGACTGGGGGGGGACAAGGACAGGAGCAGGAAATTAAAAACATAACGGAGCCAGGCGCAACTAGGTCCCGGGCTCGCATGATGCAGGGATCAGATGCAGAGCGCTGGGTGAAGTGAGCGCCTGGCTTTTAAAGGCGAACAGAAACAGGGAAGAAACAAGGAACAGGTGTCAGGAATGATACAAACGAGGAAGGGCTGGAGCGCCCTTAAGAGGAGGGGTTGCGATTGTGACATACGGTTTGAGGACACATCCATCAGATGTTCCCGCAGTCTGGCAGGAAGGCTTCTGCTGCTCTCAGTCACACTGAAAGGGTTCCTGACCCAGTCCAGTTTAGCAGACCTGGTTTCAAGGTCACTGAAGTATGTGTTGAACTCACTGTTGGGTTTGGACACATGTGCTTTCACAATTTTCACTACAGCAGCTCTGTCTGTGTCAGTGGTGGTAAGATGGGCATCAAGCAGTGGGAAACAGCTCACATCTCCATCCTCACATTTCCTCTCCCACAATTTGACCTTCCTTATTAATCCATTCACCTTGTCATACTGTACATGTTGAGGATGTGTGTGTCCTTTACCTTGTAGTGATAAGTTGAGTTCATTCAGTTTGGTGAACACATCAGCAAGATATGCCAAATGTGCAACCAACTCTGGGTCCTCATACAGGGTAGCAAGGAGGTGCAGGTGCTCCTTCGGAAAAGCACATACTGTATCTCCGTGTGAAGTTCAAACTGTCTCACTAGGGTTTTGTGGCGGGATAACCACTGGACATCCGTATGATGCAGTAGCTGCTCATGCTCTGATCCAATGTCTTGACGAAGACTTTGAAACAGTCTGTGTTTCACAGGCCTGGACTGGATGAACTTTATCAATTTAACTGCATGGTTCAAAACAGCACTTAACGTGGGGCTCATTTTCTTACTGGCCAATACCTCCCGGTGAATATTGCAGTGCATCCACTCTGTTGGGGTTTACCTCCTTGACAAACCTGCGCAGCACTCTCCTCCTCATACCTGCTGCCCCGTCAGTACATACAGGACTGCACAATTTGATTTCCAATCCAGATAGCTGTCCTTGAAAAAACTATCACTTGAAAAAAAGGTCCTCACCGGTAGTCTTCCCAGTAAGATTCTTGCAAAACAAAATATGCTCTTTTATGTCAGACTCTTTTTTGTAACGCACAAAAGAAATCAGCTGTGCCTCCCCGCTAATATCCGTTGATTTCGTCCTACTGCAACACAAACTGACCTGCTTGTTTCAGTTTATCCACAACTTGGCTAGCAATATTAAGGGACATGTCATCAATCCAACAGCAGACTGTATTATTTGATAATGGAACTGTTTTGATTGCATCAGCTGCTTTCTTATCAACCATCGTTTCTGCCAAAATTACAGCTGCGGGGAAAATTAGTTCCTCTGCAATGGGATGAGGCTTCCTTGACTTAGCCACCAGTAGTGACATGGCAAAAGAAGCCGCCAGTGCTTTGGCTGACACGCTTGTGGCTTTCTTCAGTTTGCTTTGACTTGAATTCAGAAACTTTTCATGGAAAAATGTATCAGTCTTACCGTCTCAGGTGCTGCTGTAGATGGGCTGGCTTCATGGAACTGTTCTTAAGACTTCACCGCAGAAACAAAACAAAAGTGGCTTCGGTAGGGTCCGCAACCGTACATGTAAAACCATAC